CATGAACATTGTGTCACAAACTGAACTTCTTTTGTGCGCCTGAAACGCTTCATGTCGGCATGAAAGGGGACATGGCCTTGCAAATGCTCGGGGAATAAATGAGATTAAATGTGAACTTTCCACTTTTGGCATCTCCATAATATCTGTGCGTTGTCGTGGAAGTGGGGACAGAGGGAACGCAGTGGGCCATTCACATGACATTCCGCAGCCTGGCATGCCAAGGGTGGCAGTGCGAGAGAGCCACACTTTTGTTGCCCGGGAGTGAGCGAGACCAGACAATGTCCCTACTTCTTGTGTGCTGAATAATAATAAGCAGCCAGTGGCTATGGGCACAAAAAGGGAATTGCTGCGCATTAACAATCGTGTTATATCATCACTGCCCCCCCCCCCCCCCATGAGGGTAGGTTGCACAAAGTGTTTGCCGGCTTATTTCTTTTGTGACTTGTCTCCCTAAATGCGAGGGGAGAAAAGGCGTTTGGTTAATGCGTTTTTTTGTTGTTGCAGCTATTGTTTTAAAAAGGAACATTCTTCATTCCCTTTTGAAGGTGAATTGTGCACCGTGGAAATATACATTTTGTGAGTATAAGAAACACTGCGACTATTTGCGTGGGTGGATGTCAAAGGCATGGTAACCACCGTTTCTCGCCCAGCGACTTGGTGAAGTTTTTATTTTTATTGTTTCCCATTCTTTCCTTCTTTAAATCATTGCTGTTGAGCACGGGGCCAAAATTCCCCAAAACACCAAGTGACCAGCAACAAACAGCACTCTCAAAAGGTTTTAAACATTCTTTGAATTGATCAAAGTTATACGATTTTGGGTTAAAAAAGAGTTTCTTTCATAGAGCTCTGTTCACTCCATTAGTTTAAAAAGTAACGTTAGCGAGTGGTCTACGTAAAAATTGCATGAATCGTCAATATATTATCGCGGGTGGAATTCAATGCATATATTGTCTCTTTAAAATACTCATTGTATGTAGCTCCCTGTCATGAAGATGTCCTACTATTTTGTAGAGATTCTTAAAGTGCGGTTGCACTTAAACACTACGAGAGCCCCTCTTATCTGCTGGGATGTGAAGGACAAACATGGCAGATCATATTATCCGTGATGTTAACAGTGTATTTACTCCACTTACACTTGAGGGGATGGAAAAAATCGTGAATTAGAGAATACATTTTCTGCACTCATTCCTCTTTATCCGTGGAAAAAAATGTGCAGATAATTGGAAGCTGTTCAGCAAAGTAGGATGCGGAAAACTCATGGATAATTACAGATAATAGGAAGACTACAGCCGTGGATAATAGGAATTTCTGTGGACCCTTCAGCTGTTGTGGAAAATAGGAGTCCCGGCTAATACGAGTCATGGATATGAGTTCAGCAATACAAATCTAAAACTAGGTTCGTAAACTTTTCAAGTGTATTGCATCGCGAGTGATTCATCAATCTTGGCTGATGAATTGTTAAATCGTTGCATTGCTGGCGTATGGTCATGAGCACACGCGGTAGGTCAAGCGCATCACGGGGTTGTGGCCCAGCTCCATTTGGTAGCAATCGCAGCGCAGGTTCATGCCCCCCCCCCACACCCACGGCCCCATCTTGTCACCACGATGATCCCAGAGCCAGATTAAGAACCGTCTTGAGCAACATCCATCAAGACCAGATTAACCAACGAGTGAAACTGCTGCTCTTGGGCCAACGCTCGGGGGACACGGGGATGTTTTTGGAGAGTGGCGTCACAACAGACAAGTGAGGGTCATGAAATATTTCATCTGGCTTGGAGTCTAGTGTGCCATGAATGTTCACCTGCTCATGTAGCTCCAGCGAGAGAGATTCGAGGAAAATGTGTAGCTTCATTTCAGAGAAGTACAGCCATGTTTACGTGTCTCTCATTAACCTGTTTTTGTTTTTACCTGTTTAATGCCAGTTTGCTGGGACAATGTGAGCAGTTGGACGGGAAGCCGAAGATTGCCAAAGATGGAAAGAATCTGTCGTGGACATCAACACTCAGCTGTGAGGATGACACTTGATAGGCAGAATGTCACGCTGCTTGTAACAGCACTGCATACGATGCACTTTGCATGAAACTTAAGACATTATTACAGCATTGTCAAGGCCAAGAGATTATTGTGTCATGGCTTTCTTCCTTTCGCCAGATGCTTTAGTTTTAAACATGATATATGACTTTCAAGATCTGCTCACTCGTGCAATACCCCACTATTGCCTTCTTGCCACATACTGTGACAAACTTTCAAGTTGCTTGCCACAATCCTTGCATGATTTTCCTAACCTGCCCTGCATACATCTGCATACATCTGCATCAATTAAAATCGTTTCTTAACATTCACAATCGATACGTTGAATAGTGCATTTGAGAATCGACGGTTTATGAATTAACAAAAAAACTATTATTATTATTTTTTAAATCGCTAATTATTTGCTTTTGTTAGATTCCGGATATCACAGCAAAACAAAATTTCAAACGAGCAGAGATAGGAAAAACAATTGCAACGCAAAGAGTGCAAGAAGATGCAATCCAATGATACGGGACTCAAAGTTGTCTCCATGCTAGCTGTGGCTTGATGCAATATTGGGAAATCTGGCCACAGCCCTACAAGTGTAACTTGTTTTTTCACTTCCCCCCCCCACTGCTTTATATCACAACCTGGCAAACCGTGCCATGCAAGAAGAGAAGAATAAACTTTCATTATGGACTCTTACAGTGAAAAGTGAACCACCATGTGTCAGAGAACAGCCATGGAAAATGAGAGCACATAACTCGTACGTTAGAATTGCCTCTCAATCAACAATAGGGACGCACTTTTATATCGGCAAAACAGTATTTAACGTCTACCAAACAGTTTTTTTTTCGGAGAGCTTGAATGAGCCAATTAAGTCACAGTTCCATTTGATGGGGGTTTTTTTGTCCAGTGAATGTTAATTGGGCTGAGACTATTAAGTTTGTCAACTCATAACTTAAGAACTTGGATTAATCTTGAATGGTTTTACCCAGGTTTAAATCCAGTGTCTCAAGTGTGCCAGGTCAGTGCTTTGGCCATTGCATTGGCTGACCCTGAGCCATCTCCCCTCCTCCCTATTACTCATTTTACTACCTGGTCATTTACAATGCTTACCTGTTATGTTACATAAGCTAACAAGTCGTACATGTACATCCCTGCTGGGTGAGGGGCTCCCCACATCATGTAGGTCACTGGGGCTGTTTGACCAGGGTTCACCACGCTGGTCAGCGCAGGTTGGTGAAAGTGAGGAAGCAATGATGAGTGAGCGTAGAAGTACAGTACAATAATGAATGTTGCCGCACTGCCACCTGCTGCCCAAACCGTAGGTCCAGAGCCTATTAAGCCTGTTGTACATATGGCCGTCCATGCAAAGAGTGCTATGCAGGCTAAAATCTGCTTAGCTTTTGAGATCGAATGAGATCCCATGCACTTTGGGTAATTTGGTCAAAGGAAGTTATTCATACCAAGGTAAAATGACAGTGCGCAGGGATGGATTAACCCGGGGGGATTTAGGAGCTGCAGCCCACTGCCTCGGATTTTTAAGGCCCCAAAAAATCCATCTTGCTTCGTAATGGCCGAAATGCAATACGAGTGCACCATGATAAATCCTGCAGTGTTATCTGGTAAACAGAGCCATAGCATTATTCTTGAGTATTACTGTCAGTTATGTTTTACAAACTATCGTTTTGTTCCATATGTCGCATCCTTTTAAACTGCCGCAAAACTAGGGATTGAACCAACCGAGGTAAATAATAATTATGCAGGGTTTGGCATCGGGCCTGAACGGTGGTGAAACAGCGAAGGAAATTAATATACAAACAGGGCCCCCCCCCGCCACCTGAAAAGAAAAACAATAGCATGGTCCCCCCATCAAACTAAATCCAGCCCTAACTGTATGCAACACAGATCTGTAGTTAATGAATATTTATAGTTGACAAGCGATAAAAAGAGGACACTCCATCAGTGTGGAACATGCGCCAACTCGATTTGTTATCGAGCCTAAGGGTGACCAGCAACCAGGGCCCATCTGTGCAGGTTTGTGTCCAACTGAGACAACGTCGCCATCAATTACCTACGCTGCATTCCTGCATAAATCATAATTCACACCAACTCGGGTGACTGGAATTATATATATATATTTTTATATCCGATGAGAGATAACGTAATTATTACGTGCTTCATTTCTATTTTAAAGCTCGCAGATATAACAAATATTTAAGTGTAGGTGAAGTTAATTTGAAATGTAGTAATGAGATAAGTGAAAGGTATTATGAAATGTTCAGTTAATTTCAATAACATGTCCGCACTGCTCTGGTAAGTTATCCATCGTTATCGTACATTTGAAAATAAATGTCTTCATTTAAACCAGCGTGGATATAGGGGCACTGCAGTGGCCAGATGTTAACTCCCTGGCCTGGTATGCAGGAGTACATGGGTTCGATCCTGACCCTGATGCTTGTATATTTGTATTTTACATATTCTCCCCGTGGTTGTGTGATTTTTTTTCTCTGGGTCCTCCGTTTTTTCCCCCTCCACATTTAGAAACAGGTATTTAGAATATTTTGCTGCTATGAATGTCTATTATAAGCCACTTCTTTGAGCTATCATTTTTGGCCAAAGCAGTTCTAAAAAAAGATCTACATCGCTTAGTGGGCCTTACCTGGTAAAATAAAAAATAGATTTTTAAAATAGATATATACATACTTACTGGGACGTGCAGATATGAGTATACGCAAACCTAATAAGGCTATGCAATGTTTAACCACCAATAGCGTTCCAAAAAAAAAACTCGCTGGCAAGCAGAGGGGAATGTTTGTTTGCTACTTGTGCATATATGTAAATACAAGGGAAATGTTTTGGCCCAGGGATGTGACGAGTAAAGTCCTTCAGCCTCAGTAGTGGAAGACACGGACCGACAGCATGTTAAGCCTCAGACTACCTCGTCTACTCTCCAGCCACCAAGTCCCTAAGGTGCGTGCGTTGAGGGGCATCCGTGCCCCTTGAATCATTCACACGGACACATGCATGTACACGTGCAGCCCCTTTGTCAAGCCAACAGCTGTGTGAGGGGTCTTCCTGCGCAAGGCGGTCCGTAGGAGTTTGACATTGCTTTGCACTTTGCTCGTCCGCTGCGGGTTGTGAAGCTTGATCGAACAGCCAATGAGAACATCAATAGACAGCGCCTGTTCCTCATTTACAATCAGGTGAGAGCTCTTTAAGGTGACGTCCCTTCATTGCAAAATTAGAACCGGGCTTGAAAGCTAATGGCGATGTGGTTTGAGCAAAGGAACGGAATGGAAAATTCAGCAATAACTGTAACAGCGAATTCTGAGGATTTATTTTAAGACGCGCACCGCCCTACCCATCCCCTGTATCTTAAAGCAAAAGTGAGTGGTGCATCTTATGATGTGGTATGTGTGTGGATTCATACAACTTTATTGGCAGCCGTGCACAAGTTTGCTTTGGGTCCTACTTTCCGGAGCGTCTCAGAATCCAGAGAATACGGTGATAATTATTATTTCGTGCAAGGTAATGCAATGCGATAAAAAAAATGTATTTTAACAAATGCAAATGATGAAGTGCAAAATAGACATTGCTGATAATTATCAGCAATGTCTGATAATTGCTGATAATTATATAATCACAGAGCAAAGCAAATTGCCATGTGCAAAGGAATCCCCCTGGAAAATACAATAACGAAATAAAATTGTTATACATTTAAGCAAAATGCACTAAGGTCTACTGGTGAGAAAGTTTCCTGTTTTTATCAGCTCCGACTGTAAAAGTTTTCTTTCAACATTGCCAATCAGTGATTCAAGTCTGTGAAATGAAAATTTCCAGAGATGGTGGAGACGATACGAATGCATTCCAGAATAAAATAAAATAAAACATACGACATTTGAAGTGACACATGCAATAGAGATGTATTGGCATGAATGATCACACTGCCAAGATTAGACGCTTGAGATGGCCTTTGTAAATTGGGACCATTCTGATAAAACTGGAATCAATGGTCACCTTGTTCAGTGCAGTGCCATACCTGCCAACATTGTGCGATTGACTCAATTATGGAACGTGATCTCGTTTAAGGGGGGGGGGGGGGTGGCATGGGAAAAACTCAGAGACAGATGGGTGGGTGCCACACGGCACAGTCAATGTTATACCACATTTTTATCAGAATCAGAGCATTTATGTATCCTGGAGAAATCCGGTGAGCTATCAAGCTCTTTCCCACAGATGTCCATAGGGGCGGGTCAGAAAGTTACAACAACAACAACAACAAAACAATACAAAAACACGATAGTGCAAAGTATAGGAAAGGTAAGCAAGTCACTAAAAATTAATAAGTACAAGTAAAATACATAAGTATAAATTGCACAAGTACATAAATTCCTGCCGATTTTTACAACACTACATGCAAGTTTTGAACAAATGTTAAACTTAACAGAATGAGTAAACGACGTGATATTATTTCGTCTGCTGAGCCAACATGCTTTGACTTGACGATGTCCAGCAGTGGACCGTAGGCCCTCCAGCCTTGCAATCCCCCCCCCACCCAATGCTACATAATTTGGAAAGACCCATGCTCTTAAAAAAAAGGAAAAATTATATATACAGATATAACTTATTTTTTGTTGCTCCATATTTATGATGATTTTTACGGCTTAAAAAAAAAATATGAGTGTAGAGTTAATTTGATTTGTTACACGGATGATTCCGTTTAGCCAGATTGAAGGCTATTTTACATGGGAGATCTGTGGCGCCGTTAGCATGGCAACAACAACAAAAACAACAAAAGACAAACATCACTAGCGGCAGAGAACGAGTCCAGAGTCCTTCAGGAATATTTCACAACTCACAAACGAGGTATTTAACGGTCGTAAATGAAACACGTGAATTGAGAAAACAGTGCAAATATATTAAGCGATATAACAATTTTCAGCAGTTTAATTACGTTTTTACGTGAATTGTAACAAAATAATTAAGCTTAACCTCTTCAGATGTCTGCGTGTTAACTGGTGCACATTTTCTCATTGTTTATGTCCGCAGGCTTTTCAAGAAGATGGCATCATCTCTGGCTATAGATGCCCTAAAAGCTCTGCCTTTGACTGCATCCTGAGTCTCTTTCACCTCACAAATGAGACGCTCAACATCTGGACTCACTTCCTTCCTGCCTGGTGGGTTACCCAACCTTTTTTGACATCGTGACTTGCAGGAATCCATACTCTTTGGTTCTTTCGGTAAAGTGACGTAGGTGGAAATGAAATAAAACAAAAATCACTGGAAGGATGTTATCAACCAGGTAATGTCTTTAACTGGTTGTTGTTTGTTGTTGTTTCCATCGTACCTGACGGTTTATTCGCACATTTGTATCTGTTCTTCTCCAGCTTCCCACTTCTAGCCCCGCCCACTCCCCCCCCCCCCCTCAGCCTCACGTCCTCTTCCCCTAGCGCTCACGCGGCCCTCCCCCTACCCCACGTCCCCCCCCCCTTCTCTCTCCCCCCGTGCCTCCTCCCCCCTCTCTTACCTATAATACCTCTTGCCACGGCAGCTCTCCCGCCGACTTCATCAATTTTCTTGCTGTGGTTGTCCCACCTGATGAAGATTGCTTGTGTTGCGATCGAAATGTCGTGATTTGCTTAATTTTATTTCATTTCTACCTACGTGACTTTACCGAAAGAACCAAAGAGTATGCGTGACTTGCAGGGTTTGATATGCATTTTCTAAAATTATTATTGCACGCCTAAAAAATAAAAAAAAACAATCCTGAGTGGTCAGGTGACATATGCACTCTCATGGTAGCAGCTCTTGATTCACTCATTGGTCGTTTTTAATTGTACTTTTCTTGCAATTCTATTTTGTGGCTTTTCAAAACCTAATTCATCATGAAAGGCAAAGTCATCTATGCTCATCTGTCCATGCAAACCAGAGATATATAATTGAGTGCTGACAATTACTGCATTGATGTTTATGTTTTTTTATAGAATTCAAACACAGCCATAGCAAGGACACACACCCAATCACAACAATGCATTTCATTGATCATATGTTCAGGAAAAAGTTATAGTTTCTCAAATTAGATCTGTTGTTGGCAAAGATATGCACTTGATGTTGCAACTGGGACATCCAATTAATGGGGTTTCTACTCTTCAAGTCTCCAACTAGTAACCACAGAATGTCTGCAATTGTACAAAACAAAAGTCTGAGTTGGCCGGGTGGCTGAGAGTGCTGAATTTGCGGCTGTTGAGTTCCTGAATTTTAATCCATACAGTTGCTTGCGAATAAACCATGTGCGGTCAGTTGAAGGTCCCAGACCAGTCACCACTGACTAAATACAAAAACATATATGTAAACTTCTGTTCTGCATTTACTTTGGCTAAATTCCAGCTTTGTTCATTAAACAAATATATCAGTTTGATTAGCATCCCATGAACAATACTCTCTGTAAAGCAGTATGGGTGGGAAAGTGCTTGCAGCCTACTGTGTGGAACACAAGTCACTTGGTTGTATAAGAGATAGCTCTGTGGTATCCATTTTCACCTGCGGATCTCCGATACAAAGAGTTTTCTTACACTCCTCTGCAAGAGATCCGAATTGGAATCTCCATCTCGTGAGACACAATCGGGATAAACATTGGGAGAAAATAAATGTAAAGTTAATCAAGTAACCCTGTAGGAAGGCAAGCGTTGCCCGTCTGCCACACTCGCGCGAACGCGAATTGACTCTGCGCGACCCGCTGTGCGCAGCTACTTCATGCGGCGGCTGCTGGGCTTCTCGCAGTCGCTCGACTTCCTGGGAGAGGCGTACACCTGGCCGCTGCTCGCCTACCTGTTCACATGCTGCCTCTACCTGCTGGCTTCCAGTCTGGCCCACACTTTCAGCACCATGTCCGTGCGCTCCCTGCACGTGTGCTTCTTCTTCGACTACGCCGCGCTCAGCCTCTACAGCCTAGGTCCGTGCGGGCTGCGCGCAGAAGCGTTTAAGGATTTGCATCGATACATCGTGTAGGGAAGGGACATACAAGTTTGACGTTTTGACCGGGACAATTATAAGGCGCACGAAGCCGGGGGAAGGATACACATTGAGTTACACCATAAGCGGTTTGAACAATTGGATGGATGCAACTGGGTGGAGCATCTAATGCAGAGGTTTTGAGTAAACATCATGGACAGGGCTAAATGCAAGGGGTGGAGGGCCACGATCGCAGATGCTTGTGAGAAAGGACACTGCAAGGAGAGAGAGCGAGAGAGGGTAGGGGATGCTGCCGTGCTCTCATGGGTCGCATACTGGACTTGCAAAACAACGTTCGCCGGTTCAACTCCATCTTCAACTCCATCTTCCGGCACGGCAGTTGAAACGATTGCGCGAGATTCTGGAATCCCCCACCCCACCACAATTCCGTCTCTGTCCACCCAGCAGTGTAAATGTGTGTGCGCCACATGAGCAGATTTGGCAGGGCGCGTTTGGTGGGTAAAGTACTCTCACCTCCGCCAAAACATCGGCCCGGTTCGAAGAGTAGGTCCTGACTCCAGCAGTGCCATTAGCAAAGTTATTGCGGGGCTGTAAGTTATTTTGACCCTATTTTTATTGAAAGTGTGCTTAAATGCACAAGCAACTCAAAAGCGCCTAAACATCACATCTCATCTCAGCCATTCCAATGCCGTGCTGTAGTTTAACCTAGGGGAACCCCCCCCCCTCCCCCAGTGGCAGCTGTCTCTGTGTTGTGCAGGTTGAACAAGCCTGCAAGCGGGCAATGGGATGTAGCCGGCAGGCAGTAAGCATGATGAGCTTCTCAGTTCTGTGTGTGTCAAACGCTAACTATTTGCAATCATGAATGCATCCTTTCATCGATTTGAATGATTGGTGTGTTCGATTCTGATGCATTGCAAATCTGTCTGAAAGCACAACTGGGATGCGGCATGTTCATTCGTCACAGGGCATCCGCAACGATACCGTGGAATTGCACGTCATTGCATATGGATTGGCTATGATACATCGAATGTATATGCTGCATTAAGGTGATGCAGTAATGTGGTGCCTTGTCAAATATATATGGCTTGCAAAGGATTCAGGGCAATTCAAATGACTGCATTTCAATAATATTGTCCCTGCTGACGGTGGTCAATTTGTTGTTCGTCTGGTTTGGGTGCATTTGACAAAAGTGTAAACAGCCCGCGAATTGACCCGGGCAAGTCTGTCCTGGTGTAATGACACACGCGAGAGTGATGAAGTCGGTGCACTATCACGCCGGGTTCCAGCACCAAGCCGGAGTCGCAGCTCTATGACAAGCACATTAACCGTGGGATTAGTGCAGAGCAAATCCAAATAATTTGGAGTCATTTTTACAAACGCCTTGGCTTTTGCTTTTACTTCATTATCATCTGCCTTGGTGAATCCACTGCTGGATGATGGACTCTCCAAACCGCTGCCGATTACCATTGCTCCGTCTCCCCGGTGGACGTCCACCGCGGAAGTGTTTTGCTCCGTCCACCTACTTGGCTGTAGAAATGTACTCACATTTTGAAGGCACGTCGATCGCACGCAATCATTTCATCGCACGGTAGGTGAATCAAATGGCTATTCTCGTTGCTCCACCACCGATGTGGGAATGAATACATGGCCCGTGAGAGCCACTGTACGCTTGTAAAAGTGCGAGTCTGAGGAGAGATCAAAACCCTGATGCTTGTGAGAAAGGACACTGATTAATGACTGCCCCGGGGCTTTTATAGGATGTCAGATACAGAGCCTTCCGTGCTGTGCTTGCTGGGTTCTTTTACGTTCCTCAGGTAACGAACTGGAAATGTTTCTGTCTTTGAAGTCGGTGTCTTTGTGTTGGTAGAAAGGATAATGTGTATCATGTGTGAGTGCAGTTCAGTACAGAAACGATTGCTTGTAGGTTTTATTTGTGTGAATCAACACGAACGCATGCGAGACATTAGAGAATGTGTTTCGTCAGCGTTGTCTGGAAGTGGTCTAGCAAGCTGAACACAATCCATGCTCTTGAAAAAACTTGCAACCGTATCGCTCGTAGATATGCGGTGTACGGTGTTATTTCCAGCAATAAATAAACTACAATGATCTTGGATGCATTCAACACAGTAGGTACTGAAACTTGTGTTTAAATTAATGTTTAAGACGTTATGAATTATACATTGTCCAAGTTAATGAGTGGTCATGATTCAGACGTGGAGCTGGTGTAAAAGGCAATGAGCACATGCCAAGTTTCGGAAGGTCACGACCTATAATGTGGGAACAGGCTGCCAACGTGGAGCTGACAGAAATTATGCTTTCTCCCCAGTGCCCATAGGAATACTGCCACGGAATCGAAAAACCCTGGCTTTAAATTCTAATCTGGAAAGTAGGTGAAATATAAACAATGCAGCGATTGCACATTTGAAGCAATTGGCGGGACCCCGGGGTCCCATCACTGCCCCGGGGTGGGAAAAACCGCGTAGCGACACGAGTCTTTGCCTTACCGACAACAACAAAACTGGTGGTCAATCGATTGGCCTCGTCGAGAGCTACTCGGGGCACTAAGTTTCGTAAAAAGTTGAAAAATTACATAAACACGTTAAATTCACTGCCTGGGGGGCGGGCTCGCCTTGGCAAAGAAGCTGAGGATCGACGGCTGACCGGAGGGCGTCGTCGCCGCGCGCGACTGCGGCGGACGCCCCCCGGGGCTCGCGTTTGGCCGGTGGGGTGGCGCCCATCGTGTTGATCGCCGCCTGCTGCTGGCGCTTGTTGGTGCGAGTCTGGGCGGGCGGCGCGTTGCTGTCGGGGTCACGAGTGGGCGGACTGGAAAATAATAATTATTGACCTGATTTTTGCGGGACCCCATGGGGTCCCGCCAAATGATTCATTTGATAAAGGTTATACACACATTGCGGTGGAACGGTGGTGCAGCGGGTTATCACACTGCGATGCGAACGCGGCCACTCGACTAGTTCAATTCCTGACCACGGTCAACATAAGTGGCGAGTAATATCCTTAACAGATCTGGGTCCTCCTCCCCTTACCAACCTGTACCAACCAATATGATTATAAGTATGGGTCACACAACCTCCACAACCAACACGTTACGGTACAGGGAGGCCTTCATTCAGCAGTAGATTAACAAATGTCTAATTTATTGTTAAACGTACAAACCTCACAATCGAGTTGGGCATAACGAGGCCACATTTTTGACACAGCACGACAAATTTCGCTCAGGAATAACCTTCAGCGCAGCTTGCATGTTTAAAATAAAAAAAAAACCGTATATATTAAAACTTTTTAGGCTGTCTGGAAAATAATGTCCCAAAGCAACTCACCTGCTGCTCCGTCTGCCCATTATCCTTTTCAGGCTCTGGTATTGCATATGCCGCGTACATATTCCCTGAGCAGTGGGTGCACGGCACCCTTCATGCGTACTTTGTACCCACGGCCGTAATGAACACCCTGCTCTGCACGTCGCTGGCATGCTACTCAAGGTATGCCAACCCCCCCCTGCCGTGCCAGCGTTCTGCGACTGCTTTGTGTAGCCCAACCAGAACGACGATTATTTTCTTGGGCATAATACATAAAAAAAAACCCAGAGAGAATAATGATGATATAGTAATTACTGGATTATGTACAGACATAAAGGCCCGTGGATAAATTGAGCATGGTGGTTACAACAAAAAGTTTATAAGTATGGATTACATCTCTTCTGCTGTTTGCCCATTTATTTTCAGTGTTCAGCCACCAGATGGTGAGGATTTGAGGATGAATGTCAGTCCGCGCTGCCCAATGGCCGTTTTTGTTTTAAATAAGCACATAATCCACTGACGTAGTCAGAGATATTCATCGTGATGAGCTGTGGCAGTTTTCCGGCACCGTAATTGAGAGCTGTGGATGCAGGGTGGAGCCCAATAGCAGAACAGAACCTTTGAGGGATTCATATTCTTTGGGTCTTTCGGTAAAGTCACGTTGATAGGTTAAAAGAAAATAACAAAAAACTTTTTCTTTGAACCTATCTACGTGACTTTACCGAAAGACCCAAAGAATATGAATCCCTGCAGCCACGAAAGCTTTAAATCTTTGAGGGATTCTCCTGAGATTTATTAAGGAAGTCCAGTGGTTTCCAGGAAGGGACAATCGCACAAATGAGTCCCCCTGGGTTTGTCCAACAATGTTCTTTGGACTGCCTGCGACTTGCTCTGGAAAAAAAATGTCACACCGGGTATTTAAAGTTCTGAGCTTTCTCGGTCGTCTCATCTCATAGAAGAGATGGTGCTGTACACCAGAGCTTCGTCTCATCTCATAGAAGAGATGGTGCTGTAGACCAGAGCTTCGTCTCATCTCATAGAAGAGATGGTGCTGTACACGAGAGCTTGTGAACGTTCCCTTAAAAATACATTTCCAAATCGGAGCCTCACTTTGAAAATGGTTGGTTTGACCTTTCAAAATCTTTTACCCTGTGACGGAAGAATGGTGTAGATGGCACAGCACATCCGAGATTACCCACTTTACGGAAACGCAATTGTTCCCGTATATTCCTTTAGATTATAGCCTAGCTCAGAGTGCCGGATAGTCACGACAGAGTGACGTACCAAGTGGCAGCTCTAATACAGTTCGCCCTGCACTGTTCATTTAAACGTACGGCTTTTAGCAGATGGCGCCGCACACCGTGAAATGTGTCTTTCGCTTGGCGTGTGCCATTTAGTGAATACTAATGCATGCAAATTGGGCCACTGCATTATCTACAAATTCAAGCTATATTCCGTTACGTATTCTCTTGTTCTGTCTTTGCTTGCGCGGACAGCTTTGGTAAGTTCTCACAATTGTATCCTATACAATATCATCAAGTGTCCCAAAGTTATTATCGTTAAAATATATATTTTGAAGTGCAAAAAAAACTGTGCTACCCATCCAGCTTGTGGTCCTGTGAGATTTACTCCTCCCACACCCCCAACCCGGGCAATTCCTTCCCAGACACAGCATGCATTATTTCAAGTTGGACACCGTTCACCTGTGCAGCAGTCTCACAGGTTCATATTTATCGCTGAGGGTTAATAGTAAACATGCCGTGTCAGGGAGATGTAAATGAGCGATTACGTTGAACTGAGCCTGAGCGCGTGTTGTTCGGCGTTTCTTCTCCTGTGTGCCTGCTGCTGTGAACAGAATTACAAATACGTTATTTTCATGAATCACCAGAGCGGAGTCTGACGTTTGTTTGTAAGGAGAGGAGTGTGATGTCTATTGTTAATAAAGGCTGGCACCAGGACCTTGGCACACTGTCAAACCAGTTGATAAATTTGTGCCATTCTGCTTGTGAGACAATTAAATATATCATCGTGCTTTAATATGTGAGATATGTCAGAATAAAATAACACATCAAGAATGTTTATGGATGAAATAAACGGCATTACTAATATGTGATTCTCTTTCTTTCCAGGTTCACGGAACTTGATCAACCGCATTTTAGCAAACTTCTTCGCATTTTAGCTTTCTTCTGCCCATATCTCTTCGACAACATTCCATTGTTTTACAGGGTAGGTGATGGCATTACTAATATATGCAGCAGGTACACACATATTGCTGTGTTCGTCATTCTCGCATTCTGCACTGCAGAGCAGACTGTGGATACACTCGCAGAGAGAAATTTTGCCAACACGTCCATCGCATCACGAAGTTCAAATGGAGGGACGTTAATGAGACACACTGCAGAGTGGATATACCAGGAAATGTCCATGGTTTTAACTCCTCTCCCCTCTCCAAAAAACAACCACTCCACTTGCGACAAAACTTGTACATGACTATTCCCTAATCTCATCACAGGAAACTGGGCATGGGAAGATAGTTTGCAGAGATATTTAAAACCCCAAACATAATCCACTGCTGAATTAAAGTCTCCCTCACAGCATGCGAGTCATACTTGACCACGCTGGTCAGTACAGGTTTGTAAAAATGGGGCCCAGGACTGTTTCAGATATCACTAGCCACTAATGCCACAGCCGGAAATCAATCTCAGGATGTCAAGTTGAAAGCTGCACCACCGCCCCAACATTAGGATTAGCACGTTGAACAATTTGTCCATGGTTTCTTGACCTACATCAAAGTTCATCGGTCATACATAGATTGACATCAATACTCTATCTAGGTCTCCAATTCCTTTCTACCATCATCATCATAATGATCATCTACCATGATCCACTCCTGGATGAATCACTCCCTAAGTTGTACCTCTTTCGCACGGTCTTGCACTTCAACAATTCATCTAGCTCGCACACGTACGGATTTACTCGCTCCATCTCCACGGTGGGCCCTCCTCAGGGACGCGTTCCATCCTTTGGCTGGCACTTCACTGTTCGTCTCGACCAACGGCCTTGCCCAAGCCCACTTATTTCCACGGTCGATATAATGTCTCTAACCTGCACCTATTCTCTACTCCGTGTGTTCCTCTTCTATCTGTGCTAATCCAAGCATACACCTCTCCATGAATATTTGCACACTTTTCAGATTGTGTTCCATTATATTCGCAAATGTCTGTGTTTCTGATCCGTATGTCAGGAGAAAAACATCAATTATATTTTCTTGAATGTATGATACATAGCACTTAAGTATTTGGACAAGCTCACTCACAAAGGATGCTGCTCAATGTGGATTTAATACAATCGAAACAATCAAAATGTGGGAGTTTTCTTGACCATATTTCACCACACTGGTCAGTGCGGGTTGGTGAAGGCACGGAGCCCAAGACGGTTTCAGAAAAAAACCCTCTTATTTGGCTTAAAGCATCTTGATATATAGAGAACTGCAGAGCTTGGGCGTTTGTTGGCACCAGCTCACTGCCTGACTGCCCACCAGAATGTCTGTGGTTGCTCAGCAATTGTGACATGCAATTTGCATTAACAACTGTGCAAAACTAAAACCGTCCATTATATTGTTTAGAACAGCACTATCTGACCCCCCACCCCCCTTCTCTTTCCTCCCCTTTGGCGATGTGTTGTAGCCCTTACCACCTTTCTCCACCGTGTTGGCTGCTCTGACTTACTTGAGTGTGTGAATAAACGATTTTTTTTATTATTATACCACTGTAGTTAGCCTAGGTCAGGAATTTAACCGAAGCTGACAGGTTCGTAGTGCAGTGCACGAAACCACTGTGCCACTACTCTCCCGAAATGTGATGCATTGATCACCTTCATCCACACACTGATCCTCACAAAAGTCCACTAATTCAATCAAACCGTAGGGCACAATCGCACATTTGTAGCAAACGAACAAAGTGTTGAGCATCATTAGACCTCTTTTGCCAGTACCAAAATGTGATAATAGGAGTTTTTCCCCTTTTATCTGGCAACAAAACTGAAACCTTTTTTACAAGGATTCATGTTACTGCATTAACCACAATACCTGCAGTCAAAATGCAAACAAAAAACACACTATGATAATATGATGCATTGTCCTTGAAACTGATTGGTCCACACCAAGGGACGGCTTTCTTTTGAGCCTCGACCCAATTGGTGCTCGACCAGATGACGCCAAAAGGCGTACGCCAGTTTTGTTGCCAGAAAAAAGGGGGAAAAAAACCCCTATTATTACAAAGTGTTGAGCGTCGTATCGCGGAAATGAACATTGTGCCGTGACGCTTGACGACGCGGCCGCCTGAGCGAGCGGTGCGGTTGCGCGTGCGTGCGTGTCGCCGCTGCTGCTGCTGCTGCAGGTGCTCCTCTGCTCGGGCGAAGGATGCTCTCAAAACGAGACCTTCCCGTGGCACTACGCGCACATCCTGCTCGCTGTGCTCACCGCGTGCCTCTTCTCCATGCACCTCCCCGAGCGTCTTCTCCCTGGGCGCTTCGACTATGTCGGTGTGTACGTGCCGAGAACGCTTTCCGCCCTCGAAGGGGCTCGTCCAACACGCGTTAACGCCGCCAGCCAGATCTGTCTGCCTTCGTGAGAATAGACGGTCTGTAAATTCGGTCGTTGCCCGGAATTACTGGCTGATTGCACCATCGGTGAGAATAGGTTTTCCCTTTTTTTTCTGGCAACAAAACAGGTGTTAAGATGTTAGAACACCAAACTGAAACCTTTTTACAAGGAATCATGTCTGCATTAACCACAATACTTGTGGTCAGAATGCAAACAAAAAACGTACTCTGATAATATATACATTGTCTTTGAAACTGATTGGTCCACACCAGAGACAGCTTTCCTTTGAGCCTCGTCTTAAATGGTGTTAGACCAGAGGACGCCAGAGGCCTCTACTGGAGCTGCCTCCACTTCAGGCCCTTCTGCCAACAGTGGCAGGGCAGGACCTTAATTCTGTACCCATGCTTTCCACGTTGTGCTATGAGATAAAGAATCCATGAGGAACTCTTAGAGCAATGCGATGCCACTTTAAGAGAATCGTCCACGGTAACCTCATTGATAACCCACATCTTTACATTTTGCCTGATGCCAACAATAATCTGTAAATGACAATAAAAAAAAACATCATGCCAGTGAATAGGTCGGAAAGCCACGCGTTTCAAACTACAAGTCTCAAAAAGGTTGAAAAAGCACTTGGCCTTTGTGCGTTATGCAAAAACCATCAGCAGTTCCTGTCTTGTTGTGAGGTTCTCGTTTTATTTTCATTGTGGTCCTCTTGTCCCCCCCCCCCGCCTCGCCCCCGCTTGCAGGCCACAGCCACCAGCTGTTCCACGTGAGCGCGGTGCTGGGCACCCACGTGCAGCTGGAGGCGGTGGCGGCCGATATGGGGCTGCGGCGTGCGTGGCTCCTGACCAACGTGGGACCCGAGGCCTGCTACTTCACGCAGTCCATGACGGCCCTGGGCCTGGCCGTGGGCCTGAACCTCGGCCTCATCGCAGCCTTTTCGCTGGCCATGTGGCGGACGGCCGACACGAACGCCCCTCACCTCGAGGACTCCAACCACAACAAGCTCAAGGAGCATTAGGGGCCCTGGGTGAGCCCTGGTTCAAGTTTTTTTCCTTGTGGAAAGTCTGCCAGTGATCCTGGCCCAGTTACGGCGGTGTTTCCATATTCGCCAGATTGTACGACGCTTGGCAAAGTAAGACGTAATCGTCAGACGCGCACACACACTTGCCAGGATACGCCCCCAACTTTTGCCTTAATAAACGGGGGAAGAATGTGTCTTATTATGCGGAGAATATGGTAATTGTGTGGGAGCTCGATTTCGGAGAATAGTAAAAGATACAATTTTTTTTAACCTTTTTTCATAATTGGACGAATTTTCAACGGGGTTATGTCTAATAATACACTGAATATTTTTAGTTGTTATGCTCTATATATCAGTAATAAATTATATATGTTTTATATTCAATAATTGAGCAAAATATTTTAGACTTTTAAAGTCAAACATCTCAAGCTGTAGCACAGAGCTAACCATATGGTATTTTATAACAGTGAAGAAAAATAATGTCAGTCTAAGTTTGTCTCTCATTTTGATTAGTATTTGTTTAATGAAACGTGGCATTTGAAGTTGTTTCCTTGTTTGGAAATGTGTTTACCTAATTGGTATTTGAAATACCGCAGTGTATAAATAATACTCGACGAACATACACCAAGGATTCATAATAAAGGTTTTTGGGTTAGATCGCGTTATTTATAATTGTGTCGTAACCCTCCACCACCCGACACGGCCAAACAGTAAAAAAATGTGTCACGTTTACAAAGGACAAATAGTTCACTACTTTAGCCCACCGGTGTGTTGAAGAGTGAATCAACATCATTTAAAATTTGAGTACGACGTTTTGCTGGTAATTACATCCAGCATCATCGGGCAATTCGCCAGAAGGAACAGCCTGTGAAAGTAAAACAGTTGCGATGGATAGCACTTAAAATGTTGATACTATTTTCAGTATCAGTTCTATGTTGTGTTTGTGGGTTGTACCATGCGTTTGGCGTGTTATCCGACGTTTCACCCTACGTGCTGGAGCAGATTGCACATGGCATTATCTGAAAACACAACAGAGAGAGATATATATACAGCTAAAAAAACCCCGCAAAAAATCCCTCCGTACTGTGTAGTGGCATTTAAGAAAAAAAATTCTGAGTGATTACTTGCTCAAATAAGCATTGAGGTAGTGCTAATATATTGTTTACAGCTCTGAGCCAGTGGTGGAAATTCCTTATACCGATGGCAGGGGCGAGTCTGCCCGTAGAAATTCCACTGTTGCCTTCCCCACAAGGTGGTACATATGTTACCCTACCCAAGAGGGGTGATGGGCTGAGTCAACCCCCGAACGGAATTTTAACTCGAAAACTTCCGATTGCAATCAATTTGTTCTACCACCGTGCCTATCTGGCGATACACAATTTCTGAAATTGCAATGAGGAATGTTTCCTTTTAAATACGTACAATTATTTAAATTGAGCACAGGTGAATGCTCAATGGAGAGCGTGTTTATTTACCACCACGGTCACCGGAGTAGCTACGGTCTGTATGGGACAGTTGGGGTATGGTTTCTGAATGAGATGTTGTAGACTCGGACACAAGGTAATGTTAGGCTTGTTTAAAAGCCCAATCTTTACGTAACAATCATGTGGTGACACGAGTGCACTGATGTTAGGTTCGAGTCCACATATTAAATATTTCCTTCTGAAAACATTCACTTCCCGGTTGTGTGCCTGTCAGTTTTTTTTTAGTTGAAACAAAGTTAAAGCATCAAATATTGTTGTAATGTACTACCGAACTGATAGGCGTATATATTTTTTTACTGAAAGATAACTTTAAAAAAACACACAAGTGCACATAACGGCTTATAGCCTTCCGGCTTTGGAACGCACTCATTGGCATTATGTACTGTTCTTGAAAAAAAAAAACCTCTTCTCTGTCTAAGACTGTAATGTTTTTTTTAATTACATATAATATACTCCACGGAACAAATGTACAAGCCTTCAGTTGTTGTAAAATAATGGTATTCTATCTACCCACCTTACATTTCTTGTTTATTGCAAATATGTCAAGTGCCTTCGTATTGGGTATTTCAGCGACGATTCTGCAGTTATGACAACCCACGTGACGATGTCGCTGTTGTCATTGCTGCTGTTTTGAATCCACCCAGATTTGCGTGTGTCGTTTGGAGTGGATTCAAATTTGGTTAACTGAAAATAATATTTTTTTATTAGTCCGGAGGCAGTGCCAGATATTAAATCATGGTTTGGTGTGTATGCGTTCGTTCATTTAAAATCCCCCACTCCATGAAACACTTTAAGAAGAATATAACTCAAAATTTAAATTAATTACACACTGCTGCAGCCCGAGATAATTACGTTGGTTGCACTTAAATTTCATAGTTTCGTATGCACTTTTGAGATGGTTCAGCAACCGTGATATTGAATCTAGCGCTGACCGAGTGTTCTCACGCACTTAGCTGTGGAACAGCGTCAACCAATTTGGCATTAAGGGATGCATTAGGGTTGTCGCCATGTCCTAGGTTTTCCCAGGATCGACCTCTTGAGGTCGCTGCTGCCCTGAGAAATCTGCAAAACATTACAAGTTCCCATTTTGCATAATAGTGCACTGCTCAAGGCAATACATTTGCGTGTCGTTCTGCCCTCCTATAATCTTCATAGATATTCTTCCCATGATATGTCCTGTTTTTTTTTTTTTAAACCTCAGAGGTCGCAACCCAAGAAAAAAATTTAAACTGATTCTTATGCTCATGACAGGTGCATTGAACTATTATTTATGATGTATGTTTTTTGCTATGATATCGCATTTAGGCCGACAAAGAAGACAAATGAAATGAGAAACAATAGAAAAGATAATTGAATTGCAATGCCGAATCGTGACAATGTATCGAATCAATGGGGATTGTAGAGGAAAGGTGGAGGCGGGGTGAATATTTACATGCAGAATACTGATAGCCACAATGATCCACTGGGGCAGTTTTAGGGCAATTGTTGCCACCAATGGTCTCAGTAGCTGCAACATTTTTACATTTTTTTACAGATGCTGCAACATTTTTTAAACTGTAAAACAAAACAGTTGCCCGAATCTCGGCATCTCATCGATGCTTTAACCGGTGAGAAACTTGGATGGCAACTTTGAATCGGGTCACATAGTGTGTGCTCTGGCAACTAACGTTATGTGCTCATCATGTGTCAGTTTTAAAACGCATTCTGCTTCTATTGGCTTGGTTACCTCCATTGTTGTTGTGAGTTTTCTTAGTTGCTCATGGTGAACAAGTCACTGGTGACAATTGCCAGAAATAATTGCCCCCCCCCCCCACTGTATTAATTTTAAGTAATAATGTGAGCAGTTAAAGGGAAATCGTGACAAATATTTTCAAGTAGTGTTCGGCATAGGCTTACATCAAGCCATTATGTTACAAATTAAGCCATACAAATAACCCACAATACTTTTGCAGTACCATTTTTTAAGCCTTTTATTACATTACAGTATATCATATGATGGAAATAGCAAGTTTTTTTTAATGACAGTATATACAAAACTTCAACCAGTAGCCTATGACAGGCTCACTGTAGATAGGTTTAGTGTATGTAATATTGATCGCCATGCAGATATAATTACAATGTAATACAGTTTTGATAGCAAATCTCATTACTTGACATCTCATGACATCAACCAGCCTTGATATTAAATACTCTGTGTGGGCCAGGTGTACCTACAATGGATGACGATGCAGCTAAAATGGCCTTTCAAGTATTAGATGGGACCAGGTACCATTTAATTAACCCGTTTATATTATGACAATGTTCATTAGTGAGTAATGGTTACAGGGAGCTGATTGTGTGTGATCTGTGGGTAAATATGGGATGCAGACTGTTTTCTTGTGACGATAACCACTGTAAATGTTGCTGCACATCGAACCAACGAGAACTGCATTTTAATGTGGTGCTGGCAGTAGAAATCGGTTTCAGATTGAACATCTTTGGATTCTTAAGGACAACTTGACATATTTTTGGGACGTTCAGATCATTGACATTACTAACTTAGATTTTTTTTGTTAAATCGTGCTAACAAAAGTAATGTCATAGGTGCCATGTGACACCATTTCTCGTGGGAAAAGCACAGAAGTAACATCATGAAAGTGACGTCTCTTCCAGCGGTGTCATACTCTTTGGTTCTTTCGGTAAAGTCATGTAGTCATGTTTTTGGCTCATTTTCGACGTACATTTTAAAAAATCTTCACTCAATTTTCATACCTTTTTGAATTAATCTGAAAGTGGGAACGCATAGCTTGCCATAGCATGTTAACCTGGAGACTGCGTTCAAGGAAACCAGTGCGGACTGGTTGTGGCATGCCGTGAAAGCAAGTTATTGGGAAGCATGCTCAGATTTTAATTGTATGTGCTTTGTTTCATTATGAATGTCGTGTTTATCGGAAAAGATGAACAGTCTCACTTTCAAAGAACGTTTATAATTTATGGGTTCTGATGTATTGTTGCTTTTCTTAACAATGGACTTTGCAAATGATGTTGTGTTCTCGAGCAGACTGCCAGCGTTTTGAGTGTTCTGTGTCAGTGCCTGATATGTACCGTATATGCTCAGTTTTGCATTGAAATGTATTGTTTCAAAATGCCATCAATTTGATAATGCAATCAAGAGTGAAACGTGTATAATCACAGTGCGTCACATGCTCCACTTGATGCACATCTGAAAGGTTTCAGAAAGCGATGCCTCTTAAATCCACCACGAAAAGGCTAAATCGTTCTGCACATCGATCCTGCCACCCAGGGTCACGAAAGCACGAGTCCTCGCCACCAACCAACAACGGTGGCACCTGTCCGTCTTTAACAATCTCCTTCATGAAAAAAAACTGTTACCCGCTGCACGAGTCTGATGATTGTTAAACACGTACTTTTTTGAGGTAGAGTGCCGAGTCAAATCCATACTCTTTGGTTCTTTCGGTAAAGTCACGTAGGTATAAAATAAATCACGACGCAAGTGGTCCGTACACTTGCGTTGCGCCCGAAACGTCGTGATTTATTTTATTTTATACCTAAGTGACTTTACCGAAAGAACCAAAGAGTTTGATTTCCTGCAGTCACGAAAGCATCACATCAATATTGAGTCAAATCAAGTTGAGGCGTTACGTATGTATCCCACTCTCCGAATCGCTGATGTGCACGCGGTGTGTAACGAGTTATTTTATATTTGAATTGAGATTTCTAAACATGCGCAGGCGATTGGGTGGAGGATCGCAAGGGTCGGGGATTTGGGAGAACCTGCCAAAGTTGAATATTTGTAACCGGACTCGATCAGTGTTTAAATCGGGTTTCTCTACCGCGCAGTAGCGGGTAGGGCTGTCACAGGGTAGAAAGTGGGGACAGGGTTTCCAATGTCGGGATTTTTAAGGACAATGTGTGGTTTGTTCCCCCCCCCCCCTCGGACGATCGACACCAGTGTTTAGTTTAACACGGCTTCGTGTGGACAACAGTGACGGTCGCGCAGGAAAAGAGTGGACACGAGAAGTGACGCATCTTGCCGTGACGTCATGTTCCACGTAGATCCGAAAAGAAAACACATTTCGTGCAATTCTAAATGTCCTATTTTGTCTCTAATTTCTGCGGATTGTTTTTATTCGAGAATCTCCCCTCCCCCCCCCAACTCGGAAGGAGCGGCGACACAGCCAGCTTTGGCCATGATCAACCGTGGACCAACAACTGCTTATGATCGAAATGTAATTGGATATTAAACAAAGGTGCTTTGGCTCGCTTCATGCAGGTTTTTGTTGTTATTAAACGTGTCGACGCGGCACGCGAGGATGAATGAGTGATACAGCCTGTGTCACTACAAATGCCATTGCGTGCAGTATCCCCAACCTGTTGTGCAGTCGAGCTCGGGTTGCGGTGGCGATGATGCTAGGTGCTGCCTGTCAACGTCGACCACCACCTGTGATGATGTTGTTGCGCCTTCACAGGGGGGGGGGCTCGCTTTCCCCGTAATGTTTTTGATTTTAAACACTGGCGCGCGCGAATGGAACACGTACAAAAATAAAGCATTGTTGTAATGAATGAACTGACCTCCAGTCGTTTATCACTTGACCGCCGAAGTTTTAGTTCAACCTGCGCGTTATTTCCACCATGAGTATGCAAACATCGGCGTGGATTAGTGGTTCCTCCAGTGGGTGTACGGTCACGGTGGCTAGGAGATGTTAACTACCTCGCCTGGTATACAGGATGTCGTAGGTTGGATCCCGACCCTGACGCTTGCTGTATATTTAGAGTTTGCGTGTCTCTCATCATCATCACGGTGGCTAGGAGATGTTAACTACCTCGCCTGGTATACAGGTCGTAGGTTCGATCCCGACCCTGACGCCAGCACTATATATTTGGGATTTGCGTGTCCCTGTCCCCGTGGTCGTGTGGATTTCTCCGGATCCTCCGGGTTTTCCCTCCACATCTAGAGACGTGCGTTTAGACCAGGGGTGGGGAACCTTTTTTCTGCCAAGGGCCATTTGGATATAACATTATTCGCGGGCCATACAAAATAATCAACCTAAAAATTAGCCTGTTATATTTGGTCAAACGTTTAATTAACTCGCCCCTAATGTGATGGCTGGAACCGCTTCTCTTTGGCGAGGCTTGTGATGATGTTTAACTGGTATTGATGATGTTAGCTGGTATTGATGATGTTAGCTGGTATTGATGATGTTGCTACTCGCAACTGCTTTTCCAGGTTTTGCCCCTAGATTTATTGAATTTCGAGTCCCGCCTGCGGTTGCCTTGGCAGGGCCATACCAAATAATTTCGCGGGCCGGACGTTCCCCACCCCTGGTTTAGAGCATTTGGCTGCTTTACGTTTCCACAAGATAAGCCACATTCGTCGAGCTATTATTTGTGACCAGGTCGCTTCTAAAAATAGTTTGAGAGATATATATAGCTCAGTGGGCCATACCTGGTAAAATAAAATACAAACATAGTATGCGCGCGCTGTACGATTAAACCATCCTCCATGTTTTGATTCCCGGCTAACATCAGTGGCGACTTTCATCTGAACTGGCTTTGAGCCTTTCACCTCCTCCCCCACCAGCCCCCGCCACTTCACCGACACGCACTGACTTAGCGTGGTGAATGCGGCACGGTAGAAATCCCCCCCCACCCCCCCCGGTCACCGACGCGGCGTGGAGAATGGAGGCCTGCGATCCAGAAGTGGGTTCACAGGGGCACTGCAAATGACGCAAACGTGGCATCTCGGCGTGGTTACGTGTCAACATGTGCGTGTGCTCTCCAAACTCTGAACAAAGAAGCACTCGCCGCCACCTTAGTTAATAACACCTCCTTGCCAGAATACGCACGACGATGCCATTTTATGTGTGGATGAGCCATTACCGTACCCTAAAAGTCAGCCTTTTTATTATTATTTACGCACTTTTATAACTCTGTTGTCGTAACCTCAAATCTTGTAACTCAATTTTAACCCACTTCCCAATGTCGTATCGACTGCAAACGTGGTGCACTTACGTCATACTTATTATAATACTATATTCTATCATAAAAAAACTATATTTTTTAAACATTATTTTTTATATGTTGCGGCTTGGGTCTTATTGTCCACGCTCAACTCACGTTGGCTTTAATTGGCCAAGGGCCCCTTACGTTATGGCAAGCTTCGGGGCCACTTCCTGGAGTCGTGGAGTTCTTCCCATTGCTCGTACGGTACATTTCATTAAAGCGTGTTTTTAAAAACGTTTATTTTAATATTACCTATTTACATATACTGTACTGTAATTTGTAAGACCGTGTTACGACCGTGGCGAGTTTATGTTTGTGCTGCACTCACTGCCAGCGGTTAGCGCTTTCACTTTTTGTGTGATCTGTGAATATTGGTTGTAAACAAGTCTAAAGTTGTGATCTTAATAGGGGGCCCCATAAAGAATTCGACATGCTGAGACATGAATGGTGATATTAGTTTAAATATTGTAAATTGATTCTGCACACGAAGTGTTGATCTCGGAAGTAATGTCAATTTAGAATGCGTTTCACTTTAGCCAGGATTCGTCTCGTCTACGACCACCTGTGGAATATTAATCAAGCCTTAGTCTGCATTTCTCGTGCAGTCTTTCTCTTAGTCTAGTCAACTAAAGCAGCAAAACATTAATTGCATTCTTAGTTATTAATAGAGGGGGTCCTTGCCTTTAAATATCTGGCAGTTCACGTGCAGTACTGGTTCAAGCAAGGCTGATAGAAATATGTGCACTCCCAGAATTACCGTGGGTGGTTGATGGAATGTTTGGAATAAAATCACTTTGCGATGTATTTATTTTGTTAGTTATTAAATGCAACATCATTGGTAAATCATCTTGGGTTACTGCTTACAATCCACTGTTTATTGAATATCTTGAACGTAATTCGTTGAAAAATGCACCGTACTTAAAGAACGCTCCGATTCGGGAGAAGCGAATGTGTGGCCTCTTACTGACCTCTAGTGGCAATGTGATGTTGGCTCTTAACCGTTTGAACAAATGGATTTATCAAGGTTGTAGTGCATACAAAAACACGATGTGTTAGCATTTCGTCAAATATGTATATGCCCGTGCTAATATTAATAATGAAATGGCATTAATGAAACATGCGCTAAGTTTTATTTTAATTGAAGCGCAATGCCATGGGAAACATGGACACTATTGCATCGCTATCAACTCATACGGTTTATCCCTATTCTTGTACAGGGAAATTCAGTTTTCAGGTCCATACGGCGTACAGCCGTTTCAATACGGGCAACATCTTGTTGTCTATCTGTGTTTCTCCCTTGTGATAGGACTTTGTACGATGAACGTTCAGATTTATAAGGGGCACGGGGTGACCAATAAGGTCTGAATTGGTCTGTATTAAGGTAGGGCACTGATACAGGGTTGACAGGTCTGCTGTTGAAGATGTGGAAGTGCAAGGGTGCGCAGACCCAATGAATATGGAACGTTGGTCCAACGTTGGCCCAACGTTGGCATGCTTACTGGGCAGTAGCGTGGAAAGGCACGTGCGGTGGATTACACTGACAAAGAAGAAGAGGAACACGTGGATTAGAGAACACAGCATAACGACGTCATGTTGACCTTGAAAAAAAAGTTATATAAAGAAGGGCTATTGCACAAAACGTTGACCTTTATATATTTCCATTAGTAGGCTACAGTGTTATTGATGAATGTGTTGAGGTTGTTGTTGTGTACTCTGCTTGTTGCAACACTGCCAACGCAGCCGCATCACCACCACCACCACCGGCAAAGCTTTGTTGAGATAAGTGAGTGGTCAGCTTGTGCAGGATTACACGCAACGAGAATGGGTGACATCAGGACAAGCGAGCGAGGGTAGCGGCGGAGTGGCAGCCAACGGGGCACAAAATCGCGTCCGGAGGGAGACCTCCATCGCTGAGATGGAGCAATGAGATCAGCATATTGCCCGGTGCTGAATGGGAGATGGCAACGACTTTGGGAGGCCTTCGTTCAGCGGTGGATTGAAGAGGGCCGATTGATGATGATGATGATGGTGACCTCTAGTAGAGATATTTCAAACGCTGTACTGCACTGTGCTGTGTTTGTAACTATCGTATGGACGGGATGGGATGTGTAAAATTATTATTTTATTATTATTATGTGGACGGAAAGATACGTAAAGCAGGCGTATTATCTACTTGCTTAATTGAGTTGTTACTTATATTATCCACAACGCGCCAATGGGCACGTTTGTGCATTCTAGTTTGCGTCGAACTTGGACTCACATCTAATGGAAGAGGTTCCGTCACGATAAACAGCTTTCAGATCAAATTTTGATTTAAAGCTTTCGTGACTGCAGTAATTCATATTCTTAGTTCTTTCGGTAAAGTCACGTTGAAGGGAAACAACAAAATACTAAAATATATATAAAACAATAAAAAATTCTCACGACGTTTCGACCATATATAGTTATGGTCGAAACGTCGTGAGAATTTTTATTGTTTTATATATACATTAACATATATATTTATATATTTTATTATTTTGTTGTTTCCCTTCAACGTGACTTTACCGAAAGAACTAAGTATATAACTGCTAGTCGCTTGCCGGCCACTAGGGGCGCTGTGCTGGCGTTTTCACGATTGTACGCTGCCCCCAAAGCAGGGCTGGACGGGAAACCAACCAACATAAGTAGGGAGATACTTTTTTTCTTCCAAATTCGGTAAAAAAAAGAAACCCCCCCCACTAATATTTCAAGAGCCGCAATGCACTGTGGTGAATACGCGATGGCGGGGTCCTTCATAAATAACGGCCACGAAGCGGCCCTTAAAGAGCCGCGTGCAGCTCCGAACGCGCGGGTCACCGACCCCCTGGCTCCAAAGCAAAAGGGAACAATGATTGATGAGTCCGGTGATTTGAGCTTAGGTCCGTCTAGGTGGTGGCACACGAGCTTTGTGGTCTTGTGGCTCGGTTGGGGGGTCTTCTCGCGGGTGCTTGATTTGTTTCCAGCTTACTCGGAGGAGGGCGTTGCCTGCTGTGGTGCCATGGTCAGCAAAATTGACTTGAAATGGTCAGGTCCCAGCGGTACAAATGGGTTCACCACAGTCGGTCGTGGTAAAGTGTGGGTTATCCCACCCCTTCTAAGACGTCTGTCCCGCGTGGAAGAGTAGGCCAAATGCCCCGTAGTGAGGCTCTCTAGAGCTCCATTTAGTGGAGGCGAGTCAGCCAGCAGTGGCGTGGGCAAGAAATTTGAGGGCTGCACAATTATATTTTTTTACCTTTCTATATATATAAAAAAATTATAATGTCAAATGTCGGTGCATGGTATCATTGTTACAAAATAGTTAGTGTATATATTTTAGCATTCTGCCCAGTATTAGTTGTAAAGCATGTAGAGTATTTGTAAATACATTTTGATCCAAATTATGATTTTGCATGCTGCATTCATCTGGATCAATGGAAATTCCTGTATGAGCGGTCCTAGAAAAAGTTCACGATAATTTGGCCGTTATTCTTAGTGGGGTTTTTTTCTTTCATTTAACGGATAAAATCCATGGAAAGCAATAATTTACAGACCTTCACAGA